TTGACATTTAAATTATAATATAAAAATAAAATGCAGGTCAACTCGTGCAGATGTGCACGAGGGTCTGATCGCTTAATATAAAAAATCAGAGGACAGGAACAATGGTAGTTGGTGCGAGTGGTCGTTGTGAACGGTGCTTTAGTGGCTCGAATCGAAATCAATAAGCCGATTATTGGTCGGGCTGAACGGAGATTACATTGCTTTGAATTGACAACCCGACACACAGGCTCCGCGCGCGCCGATTGAATTTCGCGGACTTTCGAGACGGCCGGACGTCCGCTCCGGTTCCTTTTTTCAGGTCCGATAGCGTAAAATCACGCTCAATGTAATCCTCGCGGACACTCCGCGAAGAATCGACCTTTTGTGCCACGGCGCAGCCCGGCCAAGTTTCAAGCTATTATGCGACCACGTTATTTGCTTACACGTCGGTGAACAATGGAAAACAGCGGCGCGCGAAGGGAAGAAAAAGACACGAGCCAACTGGAAGATTGTAGACGAAGAAAACTAGTAAACTCGTACTTTTATTAACTCCGTCGAACCGTTCAACATTAAACGAGAAATTTTATTGAAACAAGTGTCTTAAAAGTTTTGCAAAGAGGACAATGAACTAAATAATAATTAAAATATGCCTTCTTATACACAACACAAGAATGAAGACAGAAAATGTAGAATAAAAGAGAATATCTAAATACCGAAATTTAATACTATCCCTCAAATCTTTAGGCACCCGCATGTCCTTGTTGACACAAGTTTGTAACACAAACAATCCAGTATTGTCTGTGTCAATGTTAACCACATGTTCGAATACACAATAATACGAATATCTGAATTGAAGCATTCGGCGCAGATTGATAAAAAAGCACGTATAGAAACTTCTGCCCTTTTAATTCCTTTATAAAATCATCGACTAGTGTTACATTTTTAAAAGTCACACTCAATCAAGAAAGAAACTCTGACATTTGATGTGGGAAGAGGCAACTCGAATATTTAAATGTTACGAGTGAAAACGTGTTTCTCTCTAAAAGTAATTTGTTATCTGACAGATTAAAAGCACTATATTCGTTCTTCGATAAGCGGTACAAATATCTGTATATCTGACAAGTGTTGGCGGAATTATATGCAACGGTCAGCCGTTAGAGATATTTATCAAAATACTGGAAAGCGTACTGAAACATCGACACACGTGAAATTATTTCGACGAAAATTATTTCATCGTCCTTCGAAATCAATGATTTTTTACAGTACAAGATATTTTATAAAGTATTAAACGNGATACGTACAAGGCTGCAACTGCGTTCAAATTGGCTCAAGTAATTATTTCAATGATTTATACCATTTGGTATAAACATAATCTATTGACTGGTGTAATGTGTGCAGATAAGAGAACTAATTAGATTAAAGATGAGAAACAACTATAGTCGCAGTTACAAGGACATGAGAAAATTCACGAGGATGGTAGACAGATTGGGGGAACGGCAACGTAAAATTCATGGGAAAATTCAGAACCTTGAAAGCATGTACGATTGGGACGTGAAGAAGTTTCAAACAAAGTTTGGACCTCTGCGCGTGAAAACGTTTAAAAACCTTAGAATAGGTGAGAAAATGATGTTTCAAGACCAGAGGTTGAAGACACGATTCGCTAAACGGGTAAGAATTCTTATTTCACGGTCGCAGATTTTATAAACGATAATAACTGCTCATATTTATTTTCTAATATTAGGTGTGTCACATTGACCATAAAAATATGACAGAATGTACAAAATACGTAGATAAATGGATAAAGATTATGGAAAAACCTACTCTTAAGTGATTATGACAAATACAATGATTAAATGAATAAGAGTACGAATGGAGTTAATTTAAGTAAGCGAAAATTGCGTAGACGCTTGATAAAAGAAAACAGACTTGTAATGTAAAGAACAAACTGTACAATACAAATTAAGCAACTTGTATAGGTACAGAATTAATCTAGATTTGCATGTAAGTCTGAAACGTATAGAATGAGTATAAAATAGTAATAATCTTATTGTTAAGTATTAAATGTAAAAAGTAAATGTTAAATAAATTAATAAAAACTGATTTACCAACGATAATATCGTAGACCTGGCCATACTCATTGACAAACCTTGTTTTATGCATTAATTATATCGGAAACATCGTTAAGTAAAGTTATGCACGGCACGCGGTAACTGCATCAATACAGTCAGAAATTACCGGCAGCATTTCAGTAACGATATTAAGTCATCTTCAATTCATTTCTTGTGCCGCGTTAAGAAACTCGCGTTTCTCACCGCGAATTCGCGTTAGTCGAATTTTAGTAATGCGACTATATAAGAGATAGATAGGTAAGCAGAACAGAACAATTTCCCGAGTGATTATCCGACGGACGAAATATCTCAGAGGAAAGCAGAAATTATCGTACAACATCTCGAACTCATTTAAGAAAATACGACGCTCGTAAAATCTGTCTCGCTTGTAGAACGTACAATGTACGATGTGTCAGTCGCGATTATTTATAACAAAATCTATTTCCACGTGTCAGTAATAATGCTATTTTAACACGGTTACGATCGATTCCGAGGGAGAAAATACAATAACTGATTTCTAAGAATGCACGGGGAAGATTTCACACGCGTCATCCCCCTGCGTACGACGTAGCATGAGAATACAGCCACAGAATTATATTTATAGTCAACTTAAACTATACATATAGATCTTTCAATTAAATTGACAGTGTTATTGTCTCTTTTCGTTAAATCATCGATGAATTTTTATATGCTTATAATAAATTCGAATGTGCAACTGCGTACCTGTGCTTAATGCGTCGCGCCGTTGCGAGGTCATTCACGGTTGTCCTTGTCCCATCGTCCTTCGTCCCACTGCATCGAAAATCACGCACAGTTTGAATTTACACACTTTTCTCTTTACGAATTAAATACGTAACACGACACCACGCCGCAGTAGCAACGGTGGTCGCCAAAAGCCGGACACTATTAGGAAACTAGGAAACACAAGGAGCACGTACTTCTCCGCTCCGGTCCGGCCGAGTAATGGACGCTCCGAGTACCATCTAGCGCCATCTGTGGACAAACGCAGGCAATATCGTTAGCTTGGTAGATACAATAAATATAAATCGCAAATTATTCCATATGAAAATCGTACTAAAATAATATTCCATTTATATTTGAAGGATATTTTATTATAAATAAGTATGTACAACACAACATATGTGTAACTGGTATATGAGATAATAAATGCTTCGTTCAAGACCTTCAATAGCCGTGATCGTCTAGTGGTTAGGACCCTACGTTGTGGCCGTAGTAACCCA